GAATAATTTAAAAAATATTAAAATAAAAGGAACTCTACAATATGTAGTCTCTTTGTGTCTTGGGCTTCTTTCTGATGACTATAAATGTTTTGAACTGTATTCTATGGTTGTAAGCAGCATACGAGTACGTTCATTGCGTTGTATATGTGATGAGTGAAGGTATTCCATTATATGGCGTGTTTCATGTTTTGTTTGGAATCGTATTCATCATCAATTGGATAAAACCTGTGGTCATCGCCACCTTTTTCGGGATATTGGGAATAATTGTTGCTAAAATATTTGTTAAGGTTTGCTATTGTGAAGGAACATTTTCAGGTTCTGTCCCTGGGATTATGCGCTTAGGAGTTGGAATTGCGTGGGTCCACAGTGGTAGATTGATGTTGAAACTTTTTTTTTTTTGGGAGACAGAGTCTCGGCCCTCTGTCTCCCCAGGCTGGGAGTGCGGGTGCATGATCTCGTTCACTTGCAAGCTCCGGGCCCTCCGGTTCACACGCATTCCTCGCTGCCTTAGGCTCCAAGTAGCTGAGACTGATAGGCACCTGCACCATGCCCGAATAATTTTTGTTATTTGTCATAGAGACAGGGTTTCACTGTGCTTAGCCAGGATGGGTTTCTCGATCTCCTTGGAGCCCTCGTGATCCACCCGCCTCGGTTCTCCCGAATGTGCTGGGGATTTCAGGGCGGAGCCACCCGAACACCCCGCCAATGTCGAAATTTTTAAAAGAGTCTTGCCAAGTTTGTTTTCCCAAACAGCCTCGACGATTTATATTTTCTATCAGCAGCGTATTGAGGATCTGAGTTACCCCCACTAATTCTTTGTGAAGCATTTATTATCGTTGGTTTGTTTTGAAGTTTTGGATGACAGGGTCCTCACTCTGCCCCCCAGGCTGAAGTGGCAGTGGGGGCTAATTTTTGTATTTTTAGTAGAGATGGGGTTTTGCCATGTTGGTCAAGCTGGTTTTGAACTCCTGACCTCAGGTGATCCGCCCGCCTGAGCCTCCCAAAGTGCTAGGATTATAGGTGTGAGCCACTGCACTCAGCCTATTAAATATTTTTTAATGAAAGAAGCAACTTACTAATACTTTGTATAGTAGTTATGTGTTTTCATGTTTTATATTCATATACAGTGATGCTCAATGGGAATTTTGCAAATCCAGGGGCCATGTGGCAATGGCTGAGGGATATTTTTGGGCTATCATGTCAGGGAAGTGCTAATGACATAGTTTTTTTTGTTTTGTTTTTGTTTTTTTTGAGACAGAGTCTAGCTCTGTCGCTCAGGCTGGAGTGCAGTGGCACGATCTCGGCTCACTGCAAGCTCCGCCCCCTGGGTTCATGCCATTCTCATGCCTCAGCTTCCCAAGTAGCTGGGACTACAGGCGCCCACCACTATGCCCGGCTAATTTTTTTGTATTTTTAGTAGAGATGGGGGTTTCACCATGTTAGCCAGATGGTCATGATCTCCTGACCTCGTGATCCGCCCGCCTCGGCCTCCCAAATTGCTGCGATTACAGGCGTGAGGCACCGCGCCTGGCCGACATAGGGTTAAATCCTACAATGCACAACCCCCCTCAAAGAATTATCAACCCAAGATGTCAGTTGTGCTGAAGGTGAGAAACCCTGGCATAGGGAAAGGAAAAAAAGAATAAACACCAAACTGTGCTAGCTTTTTCCTCATATATCTGTGCTGTTTGACTTATAATGTACATTTATTTTGACAACTAAAATGTATCCTATAAAAATAATAGTAAGTTTATTGAGCTGGTAAAGACAATGATGAAGCAGAGGTGGCAGACTGTTCCCCAAGCCAACTGTTTCCAAAGGAGACCTGAGGGACTGGGTGTGAGTGAAGAGTGGTGGGAGGTGGAAGCAGCAGGGGATGAGCGGGGATATCCGGGGAGCCTGGCCCTGACCTTGGAGCTCACTCACACAATCTAAATAATCCCAGAGTGAAGCTGAGGTTTTCCTGAGTTGGATGAGGGCCTGCAAAACTTTCCTATTATTAGGCAAGCCTACTATGAGAATGAGAAGCCTAAACTCAATTTCCATTTTACAGCCTGGAGTAAACCATTTCTGGTCAGACAGCAGGGAAACATATCAGAGCTGAATATCTCACTGGTTTGCTGAGGGGCAAGTTAGTAGGTGTTCCTCAGGAAAGGGTTTTGTGGTCAATTAAGAAGGGAAACTCTGGCTTCAACTACAGGTAAATTAAGTAAGAGGTCTTTGCTGCAAGCCTAATCAGAGCCTTTATTATGCTAGCGTCTATCTCCAAAAGGGTGGTCATCAAATGCAGGACCTCCCTGTCTTGACCAAGTCCTTTTTCTTGAGATGATATCTTGAGACTTGGATGGCATGGAATACACTCTGGGAAATACTAACCTAGTTGAACGACAGTTTTACTGATGTAGAAATGGTGGCCCAAAGGATAAAAAGTGGCTGAACTAGCTACTTTCCAGACCAATGCTTTTTTCTCCTGCCAAACACCTTAACCACAGTTGCAAATTAACTATAGATCCTTGGGGAACATTCCTCAGAATTTTCCCCCAATTCAATTTGGAGGGGTTGCAGTGGAGGTGAGGGAGAAGGGAGTAACAGTGAAGTCATTCAAAGCAAAAATCATCTTTAAAAAATGTTGGCCTTAGAATACAGGTTTTTTTTTTTTTTTTTTTTTTTTAATTGGTGGAGGGGGCACCCAGGAAGACCAGACGTGCTCCTGTGAAGCAATGCTCCACCACATTCTTTTGAAAATATCATAGCCTGCATGAGACAGGTGGGAGCACCTGAGCCTTCAATTCTCCCCAAGTTGCCTCCAGTGGATCTCACTGGGCCAGGAGAAGCCTTATAAAATGGTTTTGTATATTTTATACAAGTAAATTTACTAAAATTCCTGGACCCTACTATATACCAGACCTCTGCGAGGCATTGAAGATTCAATGATGAGCATAATTCCCACTGGAACGGGATTTTTCTATCTGCTAGGGAAACTCAGATACCGCATGCAGCCGGCCTGTCACAGGGCTATACTGACTAAAGCTCACCCCAAGAAATTTGCACATCTTAGCCTGGCGGCAACGGCAAGCTATGGACGGGCGACGTTTTCCGTTTCAAACAAGGAACTCAAACCAGTCACAGCAGGCTGACTGACTCCATTTCCTATTATCAATTCCCCTTCCTGCTCCTCCTCCCTTGGGAGCCTCGAAAAAGAGTGGCCACTTCCTCCACATCACCAGGGCCTTGGTCCTGGTAGGGGGTCCCGCCCCCGGCCCCGTCCTCCTCCCCAGGCCGGGACCTCCGCGCCTCCCACACACAGTACAACTCTAAATAACAGGAAAGTGGGCCAGGACTGCAGGTAGGTCCCGTCCAATGCGACACGCTCGCGACGGCTCACTCCCTGCCACGAGAACCAGCCCTGCCACTAACCAGCCTAGAGAGGAACGCAGCGATCTCTAGGAGCCCACTTCTAAATTCAAATCATTTGGGTTTCACTAAGTCTCCTGACAGACGGGGACTTCATGACTTCCATCAGCAGCCTCCACGTTTGCAGAATACGGACTACCGGGCCAGACACGTAGGAACTCCAGTGCGGTGCAGCCGCTGAGCTCCAGGCACCAAAACGACTTTCCCACCTCCCAGCTTTACTAAAGAGCAAACCCGCCTCCAAGCCTCAGCCGCTGCGCGGTGCAGGAAGAGGCCGAGCTGGGCATGCGCAGTTTCCCTCCCCGCCACCGTCGTGAGAGTGGGCGGGCTCGAGGGCTGGGAGGAAGCGGAAAGCTGACCGGGAGGCGAAAGAAGCCCGCCCCCGGAAGTTCCTCCTGTCTCCGCAGCTTGTTCCCGGAACTGCTGCTGCTAGTCGAGGACGCGATGGCTTCAAGGTTACTTCGCGGAGCTGGAGCGCTGGCCGCGCAGGCCCTGAGGGCTCGCGGCCCCAGTGGCGTGGCTGCGGTGCGCTCCATGGCATCTGGAGGTACTCGGCTCGCCGGGCGTGCCGGGGACCAGACTGTTGCCCTCCCAGGGTGGTCCCAGGGCGGCCAAGCGGGGCTTGCCGTGCAGCTTCTCGAGGTCCCAGTGGCCGCTTACGGCCCCGAGTGCCTCAGGTTCTGCAGGCATCTCCCTGTAATTCTGGACCGCTGCTCCTGCCGCCCCCCGAACTGACTCCGCTGCGAAAGTATCCTGAACAGAGGTGCCGGGTGACCTTGGGAGGGACCGGGACTGCCACCGGGATGGGGAGAGGTCCGGCCGCCTTTCAAACCTGCGCCCACCTCAAGCCGAGTGGGTTCTACGTCCTTTAGACAAATGTCGACAAATTGGCCTCGGTGGTTGGAGAAAGAGAAGCTCCTAGGCCAAGCGCGGTGGCTCACAACTGTAATCCCAGCACTTTGGGAGGCTGAGGAGGGCAGATCACCTGAGGTCAGGAGTTCAAGACCAGCCTGGCCAACATGGTGAAACCCCGTCTTTACTAAAAATACAAAAATTAGCCGGGCGTGGTGGCGCGCGCCTGTAATCCCAGCTACTCGGGAGGCTGAGGCAGGAGAATCGCTTAAACCCGGGAGGCGGAGGTTCCAGTGAGCCAACGTCGCGCCATTGCACTCCAGCCTGGGCAACAAGAGCAAAACTCCGTCTCAAAAAAAAAAAAAAAAAAGGAAAACAAAAACAAAACTTCCCCCAGTGCTGTTGCTTGTGTGGATCGAGACTTGGTGATTCTTGGGGGACCATGGATATGAGTAGCCTTTAGGAGCTTGTGAGCCCACTAAAACTTATACAGAAGTTTCAGGGCGACATTTTCCTTGATCATTTCTGTTTGTAATTTTTCTGTGAGTCATTTCGGTCAGCGTCGTAATTCACGTATCTTCTTTTAGGTGGTATTCCCACCGATGACGAGCAGGCGACTGGGTTGGAGAGGGAGGTCATGCTGGCTGCAAGGAAGGGACTGGTAAGGAGAAACTCCATTTTGTGTCTTCTGTGGAACTTATATGGCCTTGGATGTGTTCATAGTAGTCTCCTCTCTGGGAGTATTTGATCCAGGAAACTTGGCTTATAGGAACAGTCCCCTGAGCTTCTGAAAGGTAGGGCTTATTTGGCATAATGGTTCAATTCTTGTTTTTTTTTTTCAGGACCCATACAATATACTGCCCCCAAAGGGAGCTTCAGGCACCAAGGAAGACCCTAATTTAGTTCCCTCCATCACCAACAAGAGAATAGTGGGCTGCATCTGTAAGTACCTCACCTCTATTTTTTATCCACTTGCTTAATACATCCTACAATACAGGAGTCTATAAGCTAACTCAGATCTTCAGTGTGTGAGTGCATGTTGGTAAGTTTCTGTCAGGGTCTTGACCCTCTCAAGCCTCATTATGCCTGATAGTTCATCCTTACTGGAAAGAAGCGCGGCACAGCAGTAAGACTGGCTCACTGGGATTGCGGCATGAAGGAGTACCCACCCAGCAAATATTTATTGTTGTACTGCTTCTATGCCAGGCATCATTTTAGACACTAGGAATACCTACCAGAACGGACCCTGCTTTGCATTCTGCATAGGCAAGGGAATTGTTAGAATTTACAGTGACCCTAATACAAGGTCAGTTTACTCATAGGTGAACTCAGAGCCTCAATTTCTTCATCTGAAGAATGAGAGGAGGGCTTGAACTGATCTCTTAAGATGTCAGCCGTAGGCTGCTTGTGTATCAGAGTTGTCTGAGGAAAAGAAATTCATGTTGAAAGCCTCCCTTTTTAGGCTGGATGACCCTCAACCACCTTTTTTCCCTTTTAGGTGACGAGGACAACACCAGCGTCGTCTGGTTTTGGCTGCATGAAGGCGAGGCCCAGCGATGCGCCCGCTGTGGAGCCCATTACAAGCTGGTGCCCCACCGGCTGGCACACTGAGCGCCTGTACTAAGTTACTCAAAATGTGCTGTAAAGTTTCTTCTTTCCAGTAAAGACTAGCTGTTGCATTGGCTCCTTCTCCCATAGATGGCTGGTCTTACTTCTTTCCTGTATTCTTTGGGAGTCAGGGAATATTCTTATTTTGGGAATAGCTATCTGTTAATACTAGCTTGTCATCCACTTAGTGAAAGTGTGTAACCAGTGTATAGTGCTTAGATTAATAATAAGAACAGATTGACAACCCGTAATGCAGTGAATGAGACCACCTAGTATGACAGAAGGCTGAGGAGTCAGGCTGACTGAACTTAAAATATTGGCTCCATCATTTGGCTCTATCCCTGTGGACATGTTCTCGGGTCAAGTACAACTACAAAAAGGTAAATACCTTGTGAGGTGCTTAATATGTAAAGAGCTGAGCGGATAGTAGGGCCTCACAGTATCATCATAGAGACAGGGTGGCCTTGTGAAGAGAGTTTTGGGGATTTTGAAGTCTTGAGGGACCCAGGTGCAAAGTAAGAATTCATGGGGAGGCCAGGCGCGGTGGCTCAAGCCTGTAATCCCAGCACTTTGGGAGGCCGAGACGGGTGGATCACAAGGTCAGGAGATCGAGACCATCCTGGCTAACACGGTGAAACCCCATCTCTACTAAAAAATACAAAAAACTAGCCGGGCGAGGTGGCGGGCGCCTGTAGTCCCAGCTACTCGGGAGGCTGAGGCAGGAGAATGGCGTGAACCCAGGAGGCGGGGCTTGCAGTGAGCTGATATCCGGCCACTGCACTCCAGCCTGGGCGACAGAGCGGGACTCCGTGTCCAAAAAAAAAAAAAAAAAGATTTCATGGGGACACCAGCAGCAAAATTCAGAATATGGAATGATTTCAGAAATCACTGACCATATTTCTTCAAATAAATTGGAAGGAGTCGGGGGAAAGGTAGGGAGATCACGTGGAGAAACAGATAACGGAGATACCAGTCAGCAGCGTGCATGCCTTGTTTAGATCTTGATTTGGAAACAATTATAAAGGAAAAAAAGTTGAGAAGAATTTGAACTCTGGACATTTGGTATGTAGACATTTACTATACTTTCAGGTATTTATGTAGTGTTTTTTTTTTTTTTTTTTTTTTTCATGCTTGAGATACACATGGGAATAAGGGAGGGGAGAAATTCTGAAAAAGCCCACTTCAGCTACTTCATACCTGTGACACCTTGGGACAAGTTAAAATCTCAAAAACCTCTTATCTACAAAATAGAAATACCTTTTCATTTTGTGTGGAGATTAGCCAGAGGTGGCTTCAGTTACTATCTTCACAAAATTGGTCCAAACTAGGTATTTCAGTGGGAGCTGATAGTCAGAGAAAAGCCCCTTCCCCTCATCTTGCCCATCCTGAAGGCGTAGTCAAAGCTATTGCTTCCATCCTTGCTCATGACCTGTTTCCAGGAAATGCCCACCCACTGACCTGCCATTTGAGGCCCTTTCCTCTGGGAAGGGGAGCTGTCAGATAACCCCCTGTGAGATCTAACCCCTACACGCCCATGAGATTAGTCTGCTCTCACTAAGCCCGTGTGGCTGGCCTGCCTTTCCCTTTCCACATCTCTTCCAACTCAAACCCTGCTGAGGGGGACTTTTGACTCCCCACATCATTAATCCAATCTGTTTTCTCCCTCCCTCATCTCCAAGTCTTTGCTTTTCTTTTTAAAAATTTAACCAATTTACTTGTAAAGAAAAATGGGCTGGGCGTGGCGGCTCATGCCTGTAACCCCGACACTTTGGGGGATTGAGGTGGAAGGACCACTTGAACCCAGGAGGTCAAGGCTTCAGTGAGCCATGACCGTGCCACTGCACTCTAGCCTGGGTAACAAAGCGAGACCCTGTCTCAAACCAAAAAAACAAGCAGAAAGAAAAATCTCCAGTACATTTGCAGACAGTGGCAGGCAGAATAATGATCCCCCAAAGATGTCCACATCATAAATCCCTAGAATCTGAATATGTTAGGTCACATAGCAAGAAGGAGTAGAGACTGCAGATGGAATTCAGGTTGTTAATCAGCTGATCTTAAAATAGTTACTCCCAGATTATCCAGGTGGATCCAAAAAGCACAAAAGCGGCAGAAGAGAGTCAGAGACGTGACTCAGAATGGTAGGAGAAATGCAATGTTGGTGGCTTTGAAGATGGAGGAAGGAGCCCACGAGTCAAGGAAGGCAAATAGCCTCTGAAAGCTGGGAAGGGCAAGGAAATGATACTCGAGTCTTCAGAAAGGAGCGAAGCCCAGCTGACACTTTGACTTCAGCCTAATGTGAGACCCACATTAGACTTGGGAACAGTAAGATAATAAACTTGTGTTATTTTAAGCCACTAAGTTTGTGAGAATTTTCTATGGCACCAGTAGGAAAAGAATACACAGATGAATAAATCCAATCCCTGAGTCAGTGAGTCTCATATTTAGCACACTTTAGAATCACCTGGGGATCTTTTACAACTCCCAGTACCCAGGCCACACCCAGACATTGGCGTAGGACCCAAGCATCAGATGTTTAAAGTGCCACAGGTGCTTCCGACAGCAAGGCTGAGAACTGCTTCAAGCTAACCATATGGAGTAGCTCGCTGCCTTGCTTCATGGTAACTGGGAGCCCTAGTGGTAGGGGGCAAATAATGTTCCCCACTAGGAGGACAAAACATTGGCTTTTGGGCAGAAGAGGGCTCCATCTGAACCTCTGGCCACTTAGCAGCTTAAACTGGATGCACTCACCAAGGAAAATATAGGCCCTTTTTTTTTTTTGAGACGCAGATCTCGCCTCTGTGCCCAGGCTGGAGTGCAGTGGCGCAATCTTGGCTCACTGCAAGCTCCGCCTCCCGGGTTCAGCCATTCTCCCCTGCCCTCAGCCTCCTGAGTAGCTGGGACTACAGGCGCCCGCCACGGCCCGGGCTATTTTTTTGTATTTTTAGTAGAAACGGAAGGTTTCACCGTGTCTCGATCTCCTGACCTTGGATCCACCCGACTCGGCCTCCCAAAGTGCTGGGATTACAGGCCTTGAGCCATCGCCGCCCCGGCCAGTCCTCACTCTTTAACTGTATTAAACTCTCCTCCAAGTACACAATGAAGAACTTTTTCCCAAGGCCATTTGAAAGTAAGGTGCCTGATGCCCCATCACACGCTTGTGTTATTTCTTACGAAGACATTCTCTTAATACCCACAACATGACCATCAAAATCAGGAAAGTGCGATTTGTATATTTCTACCATCTAATCTTCAGACTCATTCAAGTTTTGCTAAATGTTCCAATAATGTCTTCTATAGCAAAAGGACTTCGCTCAGAATCACCGGTTTGCCCTTCAGTTGTTTCCATCCTGGAACAGCTGCCTGTCCTTTCGGACTATCCCCCGCACTTTGACACTTTGACGCTACGAAGAATAAAGTATACCACACAACTTGGGTTGTCTGGTTTCACCACTGATTCAGGTTACAGCCAGCATGGGCAAAGGGATGGCGGCCACCCTTCCTGGGAACCCAGCTACTCAACAGGCATTAATTCTGAAACCCACACGCATCTGCAACCAAGCCGCCCACTCGACTCCACCTCACAACCCGGATGACTCTGTCTCAAAAAAAAAAATCCTATATCTTCCTACATCATC